AGATGTTTTATTAACTACCAACAGGACAACTGGACTGACTTGTTACCTTTCGCTGAGGTAGCATATAATTCAGTACACACCAGCACAGGTTTTACTCCATTCCAAGTAGCCACTAGACAAGAATTCACCCCCATGCCAGAATTACCAACAGAAGAATCAAACATCCCCTCCCTTAAGGAGTGGATGCACAATTTACAAACAACATGGCCAGTCGTAAGGCTGGCCCTCTAGGAAACCAGGGCCACCTTCAAAGCTCAGGCAGACAAAAAGAGAACCGAACCAAACCATTCAAAGTGGGAGATAGAGTCTATCTATCTACAAAATTCTTGCAATCACTACAGCCCTCTAAGAAACTAGGTCCAAAATTCATAAGTCCTTTCCCAATCACTAGGGTCATAAATCCTGTCACAATTGAATTACTTCTCTCCAAGACACTTAGATAAGTACATCCAGTGTTCTATTGTAGCCTACTCAAACCAGAGATTACCTCTCATATCAAGCCATCTATGCCCACACCTCTGATCCCCCTTATGATAGAAGGAGAACAACACTTTGAGATTAAGGAAATCCTGAACTCATGCATGCAACATGGCTCCACGCAATACTTAGTCTCATGGAAACATCTGCCACCATCTCAAAATGAGTAGATGGCCAAGAAACCCATAAAAGCCCCACACTCTTTAGGAAATTCCACCTAAAATATCCAACTAAACCACATTTGTTTTTCTTGTTTCTTTCCAGGTGGATTATCCTTTTTTCTAAGCAGGGCAGTATATCAGATCTGTGTATCCGTGTATCTGCAGGGTTAGGGTTTTTTAAATTACTTCTTTCCTTATTACTTCTTTCTTATATATATATATTCTGTTTCCTGCAATATTTTTTTTATTTATTTTATTTTATTTATCAAGAACATATTAAGTAATATATATAAGTATAAGCATGAATTAATACATAAAATAAATATGAATAGAGAAAACATTAGGACAGGGACGGTAGGCACGCTGGTGCTCTTACGCACGCCCCTTACAGACCTCTTAGGAATGGGGTGAGGTCAACAGTAGACAGTCTTAGGTTAAAATTTTGGGGGTTTTGGGATGAAACCACAGAGTCAGGTAGTGTATTCCAGGCATTGACCACTCTGTTGCTGAAATCGTATTTTTTGCAATCGAGTTTGGAGCGGTTCACTTTAAGTTTGTATCTGTTGTGTGCACGTGTATTGTTGTGGTTGAAGCTGAAGTAGTCATTGACAGGTAGGACATTGTAGCAGATAATTTTATGAGCTATGATTAGGTCATATCGAAGGCAGCGTGGTTCTAAGTTTTCCAAGCCTAGAATTTCAAGTCTGATAGCATAAGGCATTTTGTTGTGAGCAGAGGAGTGGAGGACTCTTCTTGTGAAATATTTCTGGACACATTCAATTGTATTAATGTCCAATATGTAGTGCAGGTTCCAGACAGATGAGCTGTATTCGAGAATTGGTCTAGCAAATGTATTGTATGCTCTGGTTAGTAGTGTGGTATTACCGGAGAAGAAGCTACACAAGATTGGGTTTACAACTCTTAATGCCTTTTTGGCAATGTTGTTACAGTGGGCTTTGGCATTTAGATCATTAGATATGAGTACTCCAAGGTCCTTGACATTCAAGGGTCATCTACAAGGTGGTGTCCACTCAGCATGTATTTTATGTTCTGATTTTTTTTTGCCAATGTGTAAGACAGAGCATTTGTTGGTTGAGATTTGGAGTTGCCAATTGTTTGACCATTCTGATACAAAGTCAAGGTCTTTTTGAAGGGTAGCAGCATTGTCTGTGGTGTTAAATATTTTTACATTATCGACGAAGCAAACACAGTTGCTTATAATATGATTGCAAAGGTCATTTACGTATAGTATGAAGAGTGTTGGTCCTAGAATGCTGCCTTGGGGGACACTGCTATTAACAGGTGCAGGATTTGATAGGGTGCTCCCTATTTTGACCACTTGTTGTCTGTTTGACAAGAACGCTGCTATCCTACGGTGCCATAGGATTTTAATTTTAGAAGTAGTTTGTCATGTACCACTGAATCAAAGGCTTTACAGAAATTTATGTAAATTGCGTCTATTGCTTTGCCCTGATCGAGATTTGTAATCCATATGTTTTTGCAGTGTAGATGTAGATTAGAGGATAATTTTTTTTCTGAAACCAAATTGTTTATTAGAGAGTAGGCTGTTTGTTTCTAGGTGGAGGGTAATGGATCGGTTAATGATTGATTCCATGACTTTTGCAATGACAGGTGAGAGGGGTGATCCCATGGGTGCTCCTTCTATTTGTTTGTATTTTTGTCCGTTATAGATGAAGTATGTGTTGGATAGGCAGTGGTTGGTCAGATCTAGGATGTGCTTGGGGGGGGTTATATTTGTTTTGGATAGCTGTCAAGGCTTCTTTGATTGGCACTCACCCCTCTCACCTGTCATTGCTAACCTCTACATGGAACACTTTGAAACCCAAGCTCTAGAAAAATCTGATCACAAACCCAAACTCTGGTTCAGATACGTAGACGACACCTTCATAATCTGGCCACACGGGAAAGAAAAACTGGATGATTTCTTCACACAACTCAACAGCCTACATCCCAAAATACAATTCACCATGGAAACAGAAGCTAACAACCAACTTCCCTTCCTGGATGTCTTAGTCTACAGGAAATCCAATAGCTCCCTAGGACACACCATCTACCAGAAGAAAACACACACAAACCTCTATCTGCATGCACTCTCACACCACCACCCAGCACAGATCAATTCCATAGCCAAGACACTCATCTCCAGAACAAAACGCTTAGCTGACGAACAACACCTAAAAACCGAACTACACACTCTCACTAACATACTAACATCCAATGGATTCCAAAGAAATAAGATTACCAACCTAATCCAAAAAGAAACCCTCACTAAAATCCAAGACAGAGAACAAGAAAATGGGAAAGCCCTCCTCCCATACATAAAAGGCACCACAGACAGAATCAGCAAGATCCTCCACAAACACAACATCAAGACAGCATTCTGCACAAACCAAAAAATATCCACCATCCTAAGAAACCCCAAAGACAAAATTGAGTTAGAAAATCAAGGAGTATATGAAATCCCATGCACCGCCTGCCCCACCACACACATCAGACAAACCAACAGAAGAATAAGTGCACGCATTGAAGAACACAAGAACTCGGTCAAAAAAGAGGAACCAACTTCTTCCCTGGTCCAACACCTTAAAGCCACAGGACATGAAATTGACTTTAAAAAGACCAGAACTATCGCCAAAACTGAACACTTTAACAACAGAATAATCAGAGAAGCCATCGAGATAGAAAAATGCCCACACAGCATGAATAAACGAGATGATACCTCCCACCTACCAGCCATTTGGAAACCTGCCCTTATTGACAAACAAGTCCCTAACACGAGGAATGACACCAGACCCACACTCACGAGGACCACACAGGATATCACCACCACACATCCACGCGGAAAGCAGACTCAAACCCGCATCGATGATGAGGCACGACCACGGACTAGAAGCCAGACCACAGCTGCATCATTAGCCACTTTAAACCCCTCCAATCCATACATGAAGCAGACTGACACCCACCATGAAGATGTGGCACGACCACAAACGCAAAGCCAAACAACAGCAACGCAGCTCACCAGCTCAAATCCCCCTGCAACTCAGACTAACCCGAGCACAACCAAGCCCCCACCCAAACAGAACACATCCCCAGCCAATCAGAGCACAGTCAACCCCTCATCCAATCAGAGCATAGCCAACCCCCAACTAATCAGAACACACCTCTACCCAATCAGAACACAGCCAAGCTCCCACCCAATCAGTTCACACCCCCACTAGCGGTTAAAAGGAAGAAACAGCTGCAATCACACATTGCTCCTAGAAGCACGAAGCCGAAAACACCAGCCTGAAGATGATGAATGAGACTTCGTCGAAATATCGTCAAGACACTTCCAATTTTACACGGGAGAAAACCCGAATAACCAAAGGCCTACATACAAACACCCGTGAAAACATCAGAAAATATATATATATATATATATATTGATTTATAACTTCTAGCCTGGTGCCTAAGCACCCTGGCATTTTTACACTTTTCGGGGAATGCAAAGGGAGGGAGGGCCATATGGATTTCATCGCTCGAGAGCCGGTGGAAGATGACCCTGGGTACATTCCCTTATCACTTTCTCAGAGTGGCCAGTACAATAACTTCTTCATACCTGTGGATTGGCTGAATCCACATTGGACATTTGGGAGGAGTTTCTAATTCCTCAGAGCCTGCTTTCTTTTTGCCCTGCTATCACCTCTATTCAATAAAAGGTTCCTTTTGAAATGCCAAGTTTCAAGAGTCTTTACTTTCTTGAATAAGGGGGAGAGGCCAGGCCAGGCCAGTCTTAGATAGGTTCAAGTATATTTTCATATATGCAAATTAAATTTTCTTATATGCATATATGCAACATTCTTATTATGTTGCACCTGGGATTTTAATAAAAACTTGGCATGATTTAATTTTCCTGATGAAAAGAACTACCAACAATGCTTGTTTACTTCCTATTTGGGAAAATATAAGTTTTAACTCTTAAAATCCAAGCTGTATCCATGCTTTATCAGATACATAGATCTTTCAGTAAATAAAAAACAAAAAAGTAGGAAGTCTTTATATTAATAAAGCTGCAGGCTATTTATATTGTTGTGCTTGGTGGAGTAGAATAGCCCACATATATACATAATGCATACTCATATGGATATTTCATTGGGTAATATGAACTGAACAGCTGATTGTCAAAATGTTACAACTGACAACAGGTGCTAGATTAACACAGTGCCTAGAATCTGGCAGTCTGGTCCTGTTTCCCTGGTTGGGCCTTCCCTATTATATCAAGAAGGCAATTCTGACTTCACTGCAATGCTCTACCTCTTACATTTCTGCCCAGATTGCTGAAAAAAAACATTGCCATTCATGCTACTTGTTAGGAGGCATTTGGGAGGGAAATGAGGAACTGTTTCAAGGAAGCCAGGAAGAATTTGTCAGTGGGAGCATTGCTGTTTTCAAGGAAGGTAAATGGATATGATCATTGACAGAGAACTAGTTATTGATACCAGGCAAAGTTAATTTCTGAAAAGATTGAAGAGAAAATGTAATGTCAGGATGTCAGTATGGATTGTTTAATAGTTTGTTGAATTTGATCTGTTGCTTTTTATGGCTTTGATCCCTGCCTATTGCACATTCAATGGATTGTCTCCTTTTATGGTACAACATTTTCCCCATTACAATTATGATTTTATTAGAGCTTTAAGAAATGTAAACTTTATTAAAAATTCAGATTGGCTGACTGATCTATATGGAGGAGGATTTCTTCTGTATTTAAGCCTGTTAAACCTGTTCTTAAAAATAGTTTCTTAAAGTTGTCAATTCGTTGCAATAGGCTCTTGAAAATTCAAAATATAGGAAAAAATAAAATTAATAGATGTATCTATCTAATTCTAAATGGTAAATTTTGAATATTGGTCTTTTAAAACTGGTTTGAATCCCTATTAATTCAATCAAGACTGGAATTGAATTGAATCTCTCTCTCTCTCCCGCTCTCCCTCCTTCCCTCTCCCTCTCCCACCCTCTCCCTCTCTCCCTATGCCTCTGGGAATTCAATTAGTATGTATATTCTGAATTAGGTGGTACACAGGGGTTAAGTTCTGGATTCCATCTGAGTATGAATGGGGTGGTAGAATGCATGAATGCAATGATTGGGCAATATTTGAGATGCTATGTAAATTACCAACAGTCAAATTGACCAGAATTGTTACTGTTCGCTGAGGTAGCAGTGCAGAGTAGCATGGGTTTGACTCCATTTAAAATTAACACTGGAATGGAATTTGTTCCTATGCCAGAGTTACCCAGAGAACCCCTCTCATCCATGTCAATAAATGAATGGATGGACTTTTTGAAAGATTTGTGGGAAAACACTAAGCGGGCTTTAGCGGAAGCTACAAAAATCTATAAAGCTCAAGCTGACAAACACCGCTCCCAGCATCCACAGTTCAGAGTGGAGGATAGAGTTGACCTGTATATTTGAAATTGCAATGGCCTTCAAGGAAGTTAGGACCAAAGTTTTTATGTCCTTTTGAAAATTTTAAGGTAATTAACCCAGTCACAGTGAAACTTAAGCTCCCTCGTCTGTTAGGGAAAGTGCATCTGGTTTTTCACAGGAGCTTGTTAAAAGGCTTCAGGCTCACCACTCCCTAGATGTTGAGATGGGGTTTATAGAGATAAAGAGGGAATGTTATGTCTAGCTGACATTCTTTTCCGTGGGAACAGAGAAGATGCCTGCAGCTGGAGGAAGGTAGAGTTTGGAGTGACTGGACTGATGGACTGAGAATTGATTGAAGATTGTGACTCAGGGAGGATGTTTCATACTTTTGCTTTTTATTGGGTGTAATTCCAGATCATGGCCAGAGTCGGAATTACACTAAGTCCTTGCCAATTTGATATGTTCTTAATAAACAGACTTGAATGGATAATAGATGCTTTGGATTTTATTTCAGGGGACATATTATTTGGAAGGTTAACAGTTCCCTTGAGAATTGAATCTCCTATCACCAACACTTGCCTTTTTTTCCCTAGGAAGGTTTGGGATATTTTTCTATCTATCACAGAAGCATTTGATGGTGCTATTTTTTTAGGGACATTTGATGATGCTTCTTTTCTATTCTATAAGAGCCTTGGTAGTACAGGGGTTTAAGGCACCCTGTTATTAAGCTGGTTATTAAGACCAGCTGCCTGCAATTACTGCAGGGTTCGAATCTCGCCAAGGCTCAAGGTTGACTCAGCCTTCCATCCTTTCTAAGATAGGTGAAATGAAGACCCAGTTTGTGGGGGCAATAAGCTGACTTTGTATAAATATACAAAAGGATGAAGGCTATTGCTGAGCACATTGTAAGCCGCCCTGAGTCTTCGGAGAAGGGCGGCATATAAATCAAATTAAAAAAAAAAATATGTCTGCATGTTTTATTCCAGGGAGAGTCATTTAAAACGACTGCTTAACACCAGTGGGGCTGCATCAGAGTGGGTTGGGTTGGACAGGGGTTTTGTACTAGGTTTGTGGTTTTTTTTTATGAGTGACATGTTTCCATCTGTCTTCTTCTTCCTCTAAGGGGTCAATTCTTTTAGAAGTTTGGTCAATATTATAACCAAAAGCCCTACTAAACAGGTATATACAAAAGTATGAAGGCTATTGCTTAATGCATTGTAAGCCGCCCTGAGTCTCCGGAGAAGGGCTGCATATAAATTGAACGAATAAATAAATAAATATTATGTTCAGTTTGGGCATATTCTTCTTGCAAGGTTTGGGGTTTCTCATTTTGTAGGTTGAGTTTCAGAGTGGTTAGAGTTTCCTTCAGACCCTTTATTTTTTCATCTAGTAACTTGATTAATTTACATTTGGTATATATATAGTTTGGGTATTCTATGGGTATAAGTGTATACAAGGAACATGTTTTGCAGATCACAATAGTATCAGTTTCTTTTTCCCTGAGTGGATTTAAATTTTACACGTGTGTGTATGTATTATTTAAATCAAAATATACACACAGTGTGTGTGTGTGTGTGTGTGTGTGTGTGTGTGTGTGTGTGTGTATATGTCTTCTCAAGTTTTCGCAGGTGTGTGTATGTAAAAAGTTAAAATCTCGGGTGTTTTCCCGTGTGATTAAAAGTCTGTTAGTTGAAATACTTAAACTCTTGGCTAAAATCCCAGCTTAAAATCCTCCAAAATCCCAACAAAACACTTTGTAAGGTCTTTTGAAACTCTGGCTAAAATCCTAACCAACACTTTAAAAGTTTTCTTTTTGGAAGTCAAAAAGAAAATGAGCGTTGGCTCTTACCTGATACGCCCCTTCTCTGACAGGCAGGCAGGGCAGGCAGGATGGGAGGTGACCCGGATGTGAGTTAATTAGGACCGAGTCTGCAGAACAAGCGAAGCCCTGCCTCCTTGCCATAGCTGTCAGTTTTGAGACGAGGACGTATCTGCAGACAGACGTGTCTAGAATGAAATAAGCATACAACATTAAAAGTATCCCCCCCTCCCAAGCCCATCGAACGGGGACGGCCCAGAAGGGAGGGGCTGACTGCCGTGCCCACCTGTCAGAGAAAGGGCGTATCAGGTAAGAACCAACGCCCATTCTCCTAAAGAGAATGAAAACATACTTATTCCATCTAGCTGGGCTGGCTTGATCCCATCCTCTCAGTTTTAATTGAATTCAGTTTTAATTGGGTTGTTTTAAATCTTGGGCCAAAATTATTTAATTGTTTTTTAAACTGTTTTTAAATTTTATATGCAATGTTTTATCTCGGCTCTACACCGCCCTGAGTCCTGCAGGAGAAGGATGGTATAGAAATAAAATAAAATAAATAAATAAAATAAATAAAAATAAAGGCAGGAACAGCAGTCAGGATGGGACATACCAAAGTCCTGTGTCCTGTCGGGAAGGAGAGGGCCGGCCCCAAAGTTAGGAGACCCGATGGATGCCCTGAAGAACCCTCCTGCCGAAGGCTGCATCCGCAGAGGCGTAAGTATCCAGACGATAGTGCCGGATGAAGGCGGTAGGAGAGGCCCATGTGGCCGCCCAGCAGATTTCCTCCACGGATGCCCGAGTGGATCAGGCAGCTGATGTAGCAGCGCTCCTGGTGGAGTGTGCTGTGATGCTGCGAGGAATCGGAAGAGAATTACAAAATTAACCTTCGGAATGAAGGACGGGTCCAAACGAAGGACGACCCTGTCTGGATAAATGATGCAGAGTTCCTTGCGAATTGACAATGAGGCCATCTCCGAAATACGGCGGGCAGAGGTGACCGCCACTAGGAAGGCCACTTTCAACGATAGGTACCGAAGGGAGACTTCTCTCAAGAGCTCAAAGGGTGCTTTAGTGAGGGCCGAAAGGACTTTAGGAAGATCCCACGACGGAAACCGATGTATGGTTGGAGGACAGAGATTGGTAGCCCCCCGTAAGTATTGGCGAATCAGGGGATGGCTGGAAATTGGGTCCTTCGAACAACAGGAGAGAACTGAAGATAGAGCTGCTACCTGGTGCCGGAGCGTATTAGGAGAGAGGCTGGATATAAACCCTTCTTGAAGGAACTCCAAGACTTGAACCACCGATGCTAAGGTAGATAACAGGTGACGCTTCCGACACCACGTAGAGAAGGACCGCCAGGTAGCCTCATAAATTCGTGTAGTTGAGTCTCTCCTGGAGGCCTGAATGATGGTAATAACCCCTGCGGAGAGAGGAATCACCGTCATGTGGAGCCGCTCAGCCTCCAAGCAGTTAAGCGGAACCATTGTGGATCTGGATGAGTCAGAGGTCCCTGCAGGAGAACGATCCGGTCATCCGGAATCCGCCAAGGTTGCTGTACTGAGAGGGATCGCAGGTCCGCAAACCAGGAGCGGCCACTCCAAAAGGGGGCCAGAAGGATGAGTTCTGCCCGTTCCTGTAGAAGCTTCCTGATGATATAAGGAATTAGGGGAATTGGCGGAAAGACCGGGGAGGAGGAGGAGAAGAAGGAGGCTGGGAGGCCACGTGCTGCACAGAGTGTCCACCGCCTCTGCCCCCAGGGAGGGTAATCTGGTAAAGAACCGTGGCAGCTGGTGATTTGATGCCGAGGCAAACAGGTCCATTGCTGGCAAACCGAAGCGGCCCGTCAACTCCTGGAACAGACCCGGGTGAAGGCTCCACTTGGCCGGGTCGATCGGGGACCTGCTGAGAGAATCTGCTGCCTGATTCTCCGTCCCCGAGATGTGTGCAGCCTTGATTGAGGCCAGATTGACTTCTGCCCAGGCATCGAGGTTGTGGGCTTCGTGCATTAGACTCCGTGATCAGGTGCCTCTGAGCCTGTTTACGTGGGCCTTGGCCAAGACATTGTCCATCAGGATGAGAATGTCCCAGCCGCGGACCTGTGGCTGAAAACGTTGCAGGGCGAGAAAGATGGCTCAAAGTTCCAGAACGTTGATGTTCATGTTTGCCTCGCAAAGCGACCACTGACCCTGTGCCAGAAGGGGTCCGAGATGAGC